TAGACTACAAGCATGTTAACGAAGTTGGTGACTATCGAGAAACTGGAGCAATGCTTGGCTTTAGTTGGAGTCCATGAAGGTTGAGGGCGAGGGTCAACCACATCACGATATGTGACAATGAATATGATACAGATGAATGTACAGATCTGGAGGACAAGTGTTATCAATGTCTAAGTGAGATATTGTTGAGGTGTAGAGACTGATTGGAAGCTGCAGAAAGCTGCCAGCCATAGCAGGGTGCTAGGAAAGACTAGCGCCCCCTCGTCTTATGGGGCACCCTCGCTTTGGGTTCCCGAAATAGCGATGCGCTTGCGTAACTTTTCGAGGCGCCTTTGTCCAGAGGAACCGATGCTTAAGGAGTAGCGTGGGCACGCCACTTGCGTTTTCACCCTCCATTTTATTTGAAGCCTTGCAATTTCAAGCAATGATGCAACCTCTATGCGCGAGTTTCTTCGAAAAGGTTTCCATGAAGTGAATAAGAGTCTAAGAGGAGAATTTCAACATCCTTTTCTCTTGTGATATAGAGAGAAAGAGTTTGGAGCAAAGTCTTATGTGCTCCATCGATTGTAGAGAGGAGATCTCAGTGAGTATTTTGTACATTTCAAACCTTCCATAATAAAAATTCTTTGGTATTGTGACTCTGTGATTTTTTCTGTTCTTGGGTTTTTCCACATTATGGAGGTCTACATTGGAGTCTGAAGGCCTTCATTTGACTAGAACTAAAATTGAATACATGTAATGTAATTTTAGTAGTAGTAGCTCTAGTGACAAAATTGTAACTTTGGGTGATCAAATTATTAAAAGGTGTGAACGATTTATATATCTTGGGTCTGTTGTTCAAAGTGATGGTGATATAGATGGGGATGTCAATAGTAGAATTCAAGTTGGTTGGCTGAAGTGGAGGAATGCTTCAGACCTTTTGTGTGATAGAAAGTACTGCTTAGACTAAAGGGAAAATTTTATAAGACGGTGGTGAAACCTGCAATGGTCTATGGCGGTGAATGATGGCCTTTAAAAGAGAAGCATAATACAAAGTTAAGTGTTGCCGAGATGAGAATGATTAGGTGGATAAGTGGTTTTACACTTAAAGACAAAACGTGAAATGAATATATCTGTGAAAGGGTTGGTGTAGCTCCTGTGACGGACAAAATTAGGGGAAGGCATTTTAGATGGTTTGGTCACATTAAACGTAGACCATTTGATGATCCGAGCGAGTAGCTGTTTTAGATTCGACTTATGTTAAGAAAGGCAGGGTAACCTAGAAAGACTTGAGCTTATTGTATAAAAATATGATCTTAATTTATTAGAACTGAATGAAAATATGACACTAAATGGGACACAAAGGAGAAAAATGATTCATGTAGCCAACCCCACGTAGTGGGATTAGGACTTTATTGTTGTTGTTATTGTTGTTTGGGTTTTTCCACATTAAATTTTAGTATGTTTTTCTTGTGCTTCCTTTCAAATTTTTTATTTCGATTTTCCTTAATCAATGGATGCCTATTCCGCAGTGGTTTCGATTCCAATTGATCAAAGCCTTAGTAGAAGCATAATTGAAGTCCCATCCCAACTTGATCCAAAACTTTTTTTTTTCACTCAATCTTCTATGAAAATAATTTATTTTAACAATCTTGTTATGTGGGAAAATGTTCAAGTGTATAATAGAGAAATTAATTAGATAATTTGAGACTAATGATATTATAGTGTTAAATATTAAAGATAATGGCAGGGTAATTAATGAAATTTTGCTGATGTCAATGAATACATTGCTAAAGATTAATTCAAATAAGAGTTTTAATTAGAAAATTATTTTATCTTTTTGAAAAATGACTTGAATATCACTTTTAATTTTCAATTGGTGGACCAACTGACATTTAAAAAGAAAAAAAATATATTTTTATAGCTTGATGAGAATAATTTGATTTCACAAGACCTTTAAGGACAAATTTTATGGAATCTAAACATGATTTTTAATCACATATTTTGGCACTTCATAGTGATATGAATAGGATCAAATTCACCATGAAGTACTGTAACACTCATGAGATATAAGAGGAGCAATTCAATATGTACTCATTTATAGGATGGGTTTTTAAAATTTTATTCAAACTAGTTTATTTATATGATAAACTTAGAAAATTTTGTATGAATTTGATAAACGAGCATAAATTACTCCTACACAAACAAGCATTGAGTTGTTAATTGAATGCATTTATTCGCTTACCATCTCATCCACAGGTTATTTGCTAGATAGAAGGTGATCTAATCGTAACAACATCGATTGTAGAAATGGAATTTTACAATCTTATGTGCAAAGTTGATATATGGAATTTTACAATCTTATGTGCAAAGTTGATTGAGGTATCGTGAGTAATTGTCCATCTATTTTTAGTCCAATAAAGAAGAGTATATTTTGAGGTTGGTGCAGAGCTAACAGACCTATAAAGCAATGTGAAGTTGAATTCACTTTAATGCTAAAAATGATAAAATATTAGCATGCAAAATGAAAGTATCATAGTTCAAAATTATAAAAATAAATTTATTTTAGATGTAACCAACCTAGACATAGGATAAAACATTATAGACAGAGGAAATTAAAGGAAATATCAAAATTCAAACCTTTAGAATCCTAGATATGTCTGTTGCTATATGAACAAAAAATTCAATAAAAATAACGGCACTAATCTTCAAGGGATCAAGCCGCTAAGTGGAGCCTCAAAAGATCAAAGTTTGAGCCAAAAGGCGTGACCCAGATTGGCTAAGCAGTCGAAATAGTGAACAATAGGATCGACCGATGCATTATAAACCGATAGATCTAACCGATGGGTCTAGGCAACAATTCTGTCGATCGACAAACCTCTCACCAAAATCGAGCGAATGCCCATGATTGATCGACCAAATCATTTGACGGGATTGATTTTTGCAGGTGATCGACTGACATAATCGATCAACTCCGACTCTTTCGACGATCGAAAAAACATTTTTTTTTGCTTGTATTATTCATGTATTTTTTACTAGACATACAAGTCGATTCAATTATACAGGCGGTTATAATAATTCTTCCATTCTTTTTATGTAACTGTATTTGGAGACCCCTACAAGAGGGTGGTCACGAAATTAATAAAGAGACTTTTCACTTTCTCTTGACTCTCAGTCTCTCTTTTCTCTCATCTTAGCTCTAACTCTCGGGGCATGTATTTTGATAGACAATTGATGATTCAACATCCTAAAAGATGAAATTAAAAAAAAAAATCATTCTTTTTTTGAACCGCTTTGATCGGTAAAGAAAAAGCCGAGTCATTGATAAAATATAGCCAATGTTTTATAGTAAAGCTACTTCTTCTTTTTTTATTACTTTTTCTTCATTTTTCTGCAGGATACATAGACTCTACCAATTCTACATAAACTAAACAACAACAATTATGGCTCAACATGTCATCAAACAGATGCTAATCATCTAAAGTTGCCCGCATGAGCCTCAAGAGCAGAGAAGGCTTTACTTCTACATTAATCTCAACCACACATTTTGCCACTTTTTCTTTTTAATATTTTGTTGTTTATTTTAGTTACTCAAAAATGACAAAACTATCCTCCTTCGACATTCGGCATACATGTCAACATGCACAAAACCCCGACCTACAACATGCACAAAACCCCGACCTACGAAAAAAAAAATAAAAAAAATAAAAAAAATCTCAAAAAAAAATTCATTTAAACGTTTTTTTAACACAATTCAACTAAAATAAAAGAAGTGTGATTCAATTTATTTTTTAGTTTTAGGGAGAATTACATGGGCAGCAGACAATTCTTATAGATTTACTTTTCCCGCACTTACAATTTTTTTTATATACACATAGCATTCTATCTCGGTAAAAAGATGAATTTAACTATTAAAAGATGATAATGAATGAGTGTTATCTTTTATACTGTGTTTGTAAATATGAAAATTTTGAAGTGAGATGGATAAATTCATAAAAGTTAGATGCTATTTATGTAAATGCCCCTTATTTTTAATGCATCAATATTTGAATATATAATAAGTATATATTGATTCTTCTATTTCATTTTTCAATCAATAAATATTCAATGAGCGCATCCCAAAATTTACCAAATTTATAGATCATTTGTCAACTTTCACTACTCCACCGTTAATATTATTTGCTAGGACTCAAAAAGAGCCAATCAACCGGCTGTAGTTAATTAGAATTCACATGCACTTTAAAAATAACGTAATTAAACAAAATATATATTCTTATCGACTTAAATGTAAGAAAAAAATTGTATTCATATTTTTAAAGGCTTTAATTTTAAAAGGGAATGCATGCGTACTGCTCAATCTTTATGTATTTATATATCTAGCACCCAAATTAAAATTTTTACATATATAACATCTTTTCAAATTTAAATAGTGGTATTTTTATGTGATATAAATATAAAAAAATAAATCTAGCGTTAGATATATAAATAGATAGAGAAGTGTGGGGCATGTATGTAAAACGCCCCAAAATTTTAAATTCATGAGGACTTTATAAAATAGAAAGAATGGAGGGTGCCAAGAAGCTGGAATGCGAGAGGACAAAGAAAAGACGAATCCTAAATATATTAAAAAATGAGCTATTGAGATATTATAAAATCTGTAAATTAAATATTTTTATAATCGAACATCCGGAAATCTAAATGTTTTAATTGCGTTGCGAGAGCTTTACAGTCGCTTAGGCACACGCAGACGCAAATCTTAAGACAAATGGGTGTTCTGTACCGGACAAATGCTCCTTGCCAGCTGGAAGGCGCACGAGAGAACGCCGGCAAACCGACACGTCAACTGTGGAGCCCGGCCTCGACTGTGCCGGACGGCGACGCTCATCCCCCCGTGACGATAATTATGAGAGAAGCCGTGGTCAGACTGGGCGGCTAAGCAAACAAGGCCCTCTTTTCCTCATAATTACAGGTTCCATTTAGTGCAGGCCGTGCGGAAAATTGAAAAGGCTTGATTTGTAAAATATGCAAAAAAAGGGACGAATTTGTGGTAATGTGTGAGGAGACGCGGTTCAATTTTCCTATCGCCATTACCGACCTTCCCTAGCATTTAAAACCCTAGACCATCCTCCATTTTTTTCTCAGCTTGCGGGTGGTGCTAGTCTCCGTTGCTGGTGGAAACCACCCTGATTCGGATTTCTAGGGTTTGAGGGCATGGCGCAAAGGGAGGAGGAGAGGGAGATCCAGGTGACGGAGACGCTGACGCTTTGTGTGAACAACTGCGGTTTCTACGGCAATCCGGCAACGAAGAACATGTGTCAAAGCTGCTTCCAAGCTGCTCAGGCCAGATCGGCGTCGCCTATGCGTCCGACAAACTCGGTGATGGCGAGATCGGGGGAGATCCGGCTGACTGGACTGGTGGAGAAGGGGATTGATGCGCCGGAGGGAGAACCGCCGGAAACCAAGGTTGCGGCGGCTACGCTGAGGGTGTCCAACAGGTGCTCGGGATGTCGGAGAAAGGTGGGGCTGACGGGTTTTCGCTGCCGATGCGGGGAACTGTTCTGCGGGGAGCATAGGTACTCCGATCGCCATGATTGCAGTTTTGACTACAAGGCTGCCGGCAGGGAAGCCATCAACCGGGAGAATCCGCTTGTTAGAGCTTCCAAGATCGTCAAGATTTGATCTCTCCTTACAAAGAGGTTTCAGTTGGCGAATGATTGTTCTCTGTGGGAGAGACGAGAGGCAGAGAGAGATAGAGAGAGAGAGAGAGAGGCAGAGACGAACTGGGAATGATCAATTCAGAGATTCATGTACTCTCTCTTTGGTTGTCTTTTTAAATGGAATTTAATTTATTGGGGAAGATGATAGATTTAACTCTCCTTAGTTGTGAATGTTATCATCATTGTAATCTCTGATAGAAAATGGTGAATTATGCTTTTTTTTAGCTTTGCCTTCTTACTGTATTTAGATTTGGCTCCCACTTTTGAAGACTATGCACGGCTAAACTTAGTGATTACCAATCTGCTATTATATCATCTAATCAAACTGAAAACATCGGCTGATTCTATTATCTGTGATTTGCTATATATCCATGGAAAATCAATGAAAAAAACAAGCAGTGATCAATCAATCATCTGAAGATGATATCATGGAGTAATTCTAAAATGAAAACATGTCCATGCGCAACAATTGAGGGGCTAAGATTGGCCTTCATCTGTTGCTGCTAACTGTACCAAAGTTTCTACAATCGTCCAATCAACAGTAATATTTACATATGTGAATTGAGTTCATCATTGACTCTTAAAGCGTAACAAGGAAAGAGATGATTACTGGGTTGTTGGTCTGGTCAATCACTAAGCCCACACAGGAACTTGCAAGATCTATCTTGAACACAATCGAGTAGATTGAAAAACCTGTCAAAAGAAATTTGATTAAGATGAAGAAGCCTGAGAACAAGAGGTTTATGCAGCTGTGGAATCTCATGTCTATGAGGTGAAACGCTCGTTTTGACTAAAAAGCCAGCAAGGAAAGAGATGATTAGCTGGGGTTAGGGGCAAGACCTGACCAACGCCAACCCAAGGTAATCATCTTTCACCTCATGGACATGAGATTCCGCAGCTGCGTAACCCTCTTGTTCTCAGGCTTCTTCATTCGAGCCATATTTCTTTTCACAGCCCTTTCAATCTGCTCGATTGAGTTCAAGAGAGGGCTCTCGGTTGCTGGAGTTTGTCCATCATAGGCATGATCCGTCGTAGGGGCTGGGGTCTGAGGCGTCTCATCAGCTTGCAGATGTGGCTTGATCATGGTGGTAGGGTAAGCTTCCAGCGGCAGAGTCGTGGAAGGGTGAGAAGCAGGTGGTGGTGTCGATTCCTGTGGCTGTGGGTTGCTGATTTGAATGTCAGGCGCGGCTGAGGAAGAGGCTGCAGATGCCTGTGCTGCTTGGATGCGCAGGCGCTTCTTTTCATAAGCCTTCAGAGTTTCGAAACAGATAATGTTTGATTAATGCTCCACATGCGTAGAAGTTGTGCAAAGATGTATTTATATGTAGATTGAACATTTTCAAGTAGCAGTCAGCACAATGAGTATAAAGTGAGGATTCATAAAAGCCAATTGTACATATTGAATTTAGGCTGATGATGATCAACCGAAGTCAGGAAACCGTGATTTCACTGAAAGAATTTTCTTGAATCCTACAGATTTCGGATTAAACAATTTCAAATGAAGAGAATTTTGAACTTGTGATAGCCAACATAACAGGGAAAGAAAGAAGAAGCATGATTTCATACGCATCATGCTAATTCAAACAAGAAAAACCTATCGTAATCGATTCTAGTAGAAATAAAAAGAGGGCATTCCGCCTCTTGGTAGTTTAACCTATCTGTATACAATATAGAGGTAGAAATTGCCATCTAACTAAAATGATTTCATCTCCCTTCGTAATGTCCAATAATTTTCAAAAAGAAAAACAAAATTCACAAACTTCATAAAAAATACAAAGGATGCAGATCTGCACTTAGTGCAGTAAAAATGTCCTTTAAGAGTGGACGAAGAACAAGTTTAGCCAGCTTAAACCATACTCTGAGAGAAGGATTAAGCTATTCAAAATATGAACTCAACTTACCCAATATCTTAAAGAAGATAACAAATCTGCACCATGATATGAACATTGCTCCAAATTGATTTAAAAAAAATTACCACGCACAAGCATCACATGGGTTCACTAAGTTAATGGAAAAACTGAAATTAAAAGCGAAAATAGTTGAAGCAAAAGTTATACCAGTATCAAGAAGTTTATATGACATGCTTCAATCACAAAATCTTGTTCATCATCACGATTTGGGCCATCTTACAATATAATTCACGAAAGAAAATTCAGAGTTTGAAATTTTATAAACCATTTCAGAAAAATATTAATTTTTGATACATCATATACAGTTTATGCAAATTTTCTCGGGACCTATTTGGTTCGTTGAAATTAGAAAGCATGTTTAGAAAAAAAATATGATTTTTCTAAATCCTGCAAGTTGTTTTGATGCAATTAGAAACCACAATGAAATTTTAACTTTATAAACACCATTATAACTCTTGGAAATTAAGGATTTCAATTTCATATTTTCTAACCTGTATTCTATTAGCAACAAGAAGAGCCATCCATCAAAATAGATTGAACTTAATGCAAAACAAATAAACGCAAATATTTCAGGAAACTGGACTCAATTTCAAAGCAAGGCTCAATGCAAGCCACATAACAGATTTTAATTATTTTTAAAAATATTAAAACGGAATAATTCAATACTCCACAAACATGCATTCACATAAATCTAAAGATTCCCGGTTAACGTGGGTGCTTTTACTTCACTTTTTGCAAATTTTTATTGTATAAAAGGACGCATCTAAGCATTCAAATTAGAGATGTGAGATCCTTATGATTGATATGCAGGTTGATTTGGAGTGTAAAGCAGCGCTTAAAGAAAAAAAAAAGAAACTCTACACCTAACTGAAACAAGAATCAAAACATGAACATGAAAAACATGAAATTATTAATAAATATTATACTATGTGCCACCAAAGCATTCAATTAATTCCTAATGGAGCACTATCATATGAAGACAAGGAGCCACTAAGACATGTTTAAAAAAATCTATCGGAACGAAGTAACATGTTAAAGTTACAATTTGGTTAAGAGGCTAGAATAATTGGGAGTGTTTTCTAGTTCAAAGCAAAAGGATTTTCTTTGAGTGTTATATTGAAATTTACCAATCCTAAACTTAAGATGCAATTTTTTAATCTTTTTTTTTGGTTTTCATACTAAAATGAAATTGGTCTTTATGTCACCTCAACAGAATTAGTATTAATCGAGGTATATGATATATTCGACGCAGCATATTAGAGAAAAAGGTTTAGCTAAACCAATCAGGAGAATAAAAAAAAAATATACTATCTGGTTGAAACAACTAATCCACACTTAAATCTTAGTTGAGCTTGAATCATTTACCAGTCGAGAGTAGACTTTGGCCCTTTGCAAAGGAAAGCTCCTCTACTTTTTGAAAATTGATTGAGCAATGAAAAAATAAAATTAAAAAAACATTGAAGAATAAATCAATGATATATACAGTGATTATCACAGCACAAACAATTTTGCAAAAACTTGTAGTGGAACAAGATGCGACAAACGAACCATCTTATAAGAAGCCAACAAAATGCAAACAAAGTTAGTCTTAGTAGCATAACACAAAATATGGCTTCAAAATTACAGTAACTTTAGCTTTCCAATAGTTCAATCATCAGAAAAATGCATTTAATTTCAGTAATCAATTTTATTCGGTAATTTTTTCAACTAATTTTTGGATACACTCAAACAATTAATTAGTCCACAATGCACTACGAATCTCGAGATAAAGCATCTTGAAGTCGCCAAGAGAAGTTCTTGTACTAAGTCTGAAGAGAACAAAAATATGGGCACTCGGCGGAAAAGAAATTTCTATTGCAAATATTTGAACGTGAACGAACAAAATGATAAAGCAACTTGTACAAGAAACAGATAACAATGAAAATAATTTTACCACTTACGATTAGAATGTCTTAAAACTACCAATTAACAGTCCAAAATTCTTCGTAATAGACAGAAATCTCGTCACGTTATCAAGAAAGAGTAAATGAAAATAAAAGCAGGGAATCAAACTGATGAACAGAAGAACCCTAAGTGATCGATGCAACTAAAAAACTAATCGAAATAGCGAAATAGAGCAAAACGCTTACCTTCACTATTGCTGTGATGTCCCGAAGTGGTGTCCGCGGGTACCAATCTGGGAGCGGACTCCTCCCCGGCCTCCGGACCCTCGCCGCCGGCGATCTGCGCCAACCATACGGGATATTCTCCTTGTTATTCATCGGAAAAAGTCGCCGCACCTTCCCTTGACCAGTCATTGCCGCGGGGGAGTAATCCACCCGGCGGATCCACGGATCCAGTAACCCCCGCCAACGCACCCGGCGGATCCAGTAACCCCCGCCAACGAGCGGCTCCCTCAACTCCGGCATTTCCTCCTGCGAAAAATCCAAACAGCAAGACGCTCAAATAGTGGAGAAATCCTAGAATCCATGGAATAAACCGAGCACGGGTATCGAGTTCCTACCGATAAAGTGAGGCTGGAGGGCTTTCTGCTTCTCGAATGCTTCCGTTTTCGTCTTCTTCTCGGAATGAAGTGAAGGGGAAACTGGAAGCGCTGGGGATTTAAGGAGACGAGGGATTAACGGTGGTGAGCAGATCTCGGAAGAGGCCAAGACCACTGGGATTTTGCGATGTGGTCACCATAGTCCGCCATTTTTCAAATGTTCAAAATTTCAAGAATAGCGGACGACGAGTGAACGTAGGGTCCACCAGAGTAATTGCTAGATTTGAACCTTTCGGAATCAGACGGATGGCCTTCAAGTGGGGATAATATTATGTCCGGCGTCGGTAGTATAACTGTGTATGACCGAAACCGGACCCCGGCTGAGTAATTATAATATTTACCGTTGTCTAGGCGGAAAAATAGTATATAGAAGCTAGAATAAAAAATTAATTTTAGAAATCTGAAAGACCAGAAGCTGCGTATGGACTATGTACTGTACTGTTGTTTAGTCATGTTTTAGAGCTATCATATTGCTAATATATCCTATTTTTTGTAAAATTTATGTTCATTAATATATTGTATAAACGAAAGATGAATTCTAAATTATGATTAAATCTTGTCATTTGGTTTCTCCTTGTTTGTTTGTCGATGACACAAGTTTAAATAGGGCCCCATAGTGTGATAATGAGTTATCTCTAAGCAGTTTTGGATTGAATTTCTTGATTAAAAAGATTGAAAAATGGAGTAAATTACACTACTACATGATGTATATGATCATTTTACTAATGCAGATATGTGATTTGGGACTACAAGGAAGGTGAAAAATACTAATTATGCAATATTACTTGAGGTTTATGCATAAATTTATTTTATTGATGAATTAATTCATCAATTTTTGAGATGTGTACTGTGTGCTTGCTGAAGTGTTTCTTTGAATTGGTGCATCATATGAGCTATATTAGGTTATTCATGAAAACTTAGCCCAACTCTCTTCAGAAAACTGGTTCCAACGAGTGATAAAAACTCATTTTATAAGTTGTGTCTGGATTGCGCACTCAGGTTAAGTCATGTTATAGGACTGTTCACAAGGATCTGAATACCATATCTAAGACTCATACCATTGAGCATTGGGATTTAATGTAGGATAAGTAGTGTATAGCATTTTATTGGAATCGTGAATTGTCGAGTCTCAAATCAAATCTTAGGGGTCCCTATAAATTTAGAGGATGATTTTCTTCAACAAAATATTTTAAGTTTAAATGTCCTCCGAAATATCCAAAATCTTTCGAAAAGGTGTTCGGGGCATAACCCTAAGCAACTTTAGAGTCCTTTGGATCATTCCCAGTTCATTTAAACTTATTACATTGTTGAGTCAATCAACCCTGGTTAAATTAAGATTTAGTTGTGATGTTTTAATTTGTACTCAATGAACTTCAATATTTTAACTGACACATGAGTGGGGCAATTAGTCACTTGTTTGATGTCATGCATAAGGACTATGTAGGTAAGTACCCTTAGGGGTAACTTAGTCATTAAGGAATTTTATACCATTTTCAATTTAGGTTGATCTTGTAGTGTTTTGAAGGTGTTTATGATTGATTATGTTCTTTTTCCTAAACCTTATTTGAATGATTTTAGATCAAGCCAAGTTCACTACCAAGCTTTTAGGTCATTTAGAGGTAAATTTGTAATTTTGGAAAGTTCTATGAAATGTTCTTGATCCATGATTAGAGAAACAACAAAGTTTTAAATTAAAATTTTTTTTAATAATTATTTTAGTCTAGAAATAGGAATTTTCAATATTAATTAATTTAATTAACTAAAACATATTGTCTGTTCTTAGGAAAATTTTTAAGAGGTTTACTTAGGTCAGATAACCACTTAAAATAATTTTCTTAAATTTTTTAATTATATTTTAATTTTTATAATTTTTAATTGATTTTAGTGAATAAGTAAATAGAACATTTACTTTATTTCAAAAATTCATTTATATAATTTTTATTGATCTCTCTGACTTGAGAGAACATTGAGAAGTAAATTTCATATTTTTATATTTTTTATTTTTATTTTTTGTACTTGTTTTTATCCAAAAAAGGGGAAAATGCATTTAAGCACTTGACAATATATTTTGACATTTTATAAATTTACAAAAGCATCTTTTAGTTGTTCTCTGAAATTAAGATGATATTTATGGCATTTTGAAGCATTTCAATATTTTTGAGATTTTTTTATATTTATAATCATTTTTAAATTAGAAAAATGTCTAAACATTGACTTTTTATTTAGCTTCAATTTTATTTTTCTTAAGTGCCTCTGGTTTCAAGGAACATTCCAAACTAATTTTATGATTTTTTGATTTTTATGTTAATTTTTATAATTAATCTAAGCCAAAATTTCTATTCAATTAGAAAATATATTTTTGTATTAAAAATATTTTTTATGACTTTAAAATTTTCAATAAGGCTTTCTCGGGTCATTTTTTTCAATTTGGGACATTTTGGTAATTTTTGAGTAATTTTATATTTCCTTAATTTTTAATAATTTTATTAATTTTAAAATAGAAAAATACTCTTTTAATTTTTAAATCTGATTTTTTTCCCTTGGGTCCTCTGAAGATAGTAAACCTACCTAACTTTATTTTATATTTTTTCAGCTTCTATTTTTTTTTTAATAAATTTTAATTTAAATATTAGTAATAATCCTAGAAAATCAAGGCTTTTGATGTTGAGGGTGCACTTCGATCTTAAAAAAAATCAGAGAACACTCCTAAGCACACGAAGAGTAAGCCCTCCAAATTTTACATTACTGTGATTAATATTTAATTAGTTATAATTTAAATAAGTTTTAATGTATTTAATTAATTTAAAAATAAATATAAAACAAACGTGTCATCTATTCTCTGAGCACATGGGTATTTTAATTTTATTTTTTGGATTTTTCTACACCAAGATATGTATTTTTAAATTTTTTGTAATTATTTTAATAAAAAAATATCCTTTTTTTGTACTTATCTGACGTGATGCCAGCGCAACCTAGGCGGCTTTGAACTCCCACGCAGCACACTCTGGTTGGCCGACCTTTCCATGCAAGTTGCTAACTCGGCCCACAGTTTATGCCATGTTCGCTCGTCTGACTTGATCCACAACGTTTGATCAATACACACATAAATGAACATCATCTGTTCATCGTCCCCAATCGCCTTAACCCGAGAACCGTCCACACTAAAATGCTTCGATTTCGCTCGATACTCAATGAAATCACTCATGATTTGTTCCTACACCTTCATCTAAGTGAGACAAACCTATTTATACCGTTAAATGTGTATGAAATACACATTTCTTTCATAAAGGTCTAACCCAAGACAAAATTTAGAGATTTTGGGTATACATTTGCACAAGAGGTGACACCTCGATTGGGTTAGTTTGAGAAGAACGCCTTGCGTCCACAAACCTCCTCCGAGTTTTGATTTGAGTTGTGATTGGGCTTAGGTAATTTCTAGTCCAAAAGGTGGCTCAGACATGGTCTTGGACTAGGTTAGAGTGCTCGGGAGATGGGGGTTTTGATTGGAAAGTCTTTGTAGGCTCTGGTGAAGCCTTTAGGCAAGTTAATTTAGAGTTTTGGTGGGCATTGGGTGGTGTCCGTGAAATTCTCTGATTTTGGAGCTCAAAATTAGGGCAAGACAGTGGGGATGAAGGGCTAAATGTGATTGGAATGGGCTTAGGATGCAATTGAAGTTTGGTGTGATTTTGGCAGAGTTCCCCCAAGATTTTCTTGCAACAACCCCCCTTGGCCTAGAGGTCATGTCCTATTTATAGAGAGGGAAGGAGAGCTCAATTGACCTAGCCAATGGGTCAAAAGGGCTGCTTAGCTGGAGGGAAGGAGAGGGCCATTGACCACTTGGGGTGGGTCACCTTGGATGGGCTTAATTTTGAGTGTTGACCATGGTGGCTCCCCTCGGGTTTGGGTTTTTCAACGACCAAGGTGGTCGGCCAGCTAGGAGAAGGCCGCCATTTAGTTCAGGGAGGTCATGGCTTGTGAAGTCAATTTTGGGTTGCCATGTGTAAAGGTATTGAATTAAAGTGGAATGAGGTTAAGCCAATTTTGGGAATTTTTGGTTCCAAGTCATGCATTTGGGATGGGTTCACCCACCAAGTTGGCTTGGGCTAATGATCAGCTTGGGGAAGAGTTTGGTGAAGTCCTCATCAAGTGGATTAGGGTTGGAATTTGGTTTAGAATGAAGCATGGGTAGGGTAAGGTGCTTTAGGGGTGAAGTGAAAAGTGCTCCCTCCTTTTGCCATTTAGGGCTTGGTGACTTCAAAAGTTACTTATGTGTGGCTTCATGGCTTGGATGAAGTCACGTGGCTTGCCCATGGCTCATGCTTAGCCTACATGGCTTGCACCAAAGTGCGAGAGTGAGAAAATCAAACTTGAAAGGGTTTCCATGAATTCCATTTGGAGTTGATTAAATCATGCCATCTTGGACTTAAGTCTTGATTAATTTGATTAATGTGATGAATGGAAGGGTTAATTTTGTCATGTGCGTTTTTTCATTTCAAAGGAATTTGAAGTTGGGCTTGGTTTTGGGCTTTTATGAGAGGTGATGAGAAATTGATTTTGGGCTTTTAATTTGATGTAAATGGTATTAAAAGTTGGTCATCTGGAATTTCATGAGGTCTTGAATCCATCATAATAAAGTTTAGGACATAATGTGGTGAAATCAAATTTGATTTATGGGTTCAAATTTACTGAAACTTGGCTTGAGGTGGATTTAGGTGAATTTGGATTTGGACATGGATAAATTTGGATTTGGGCTTGGATATGAGTAGGATTGGTTTGAATTTTAAATTGAGTGGAATTGGAGTGAATTTGGTGGAAATTGGGGCAATTGAGGAATTTTGGTGATAATTATGGATTTTGATCAAGATTGGACAT